GGAAATCCCCATCTGGCCCCATTTCCTGCTCAGCCTTGCCACCATCCCGTGTACCCGGCAATATATATACTATATATTTAGGAGGAAGGTCCAAATCAGCGGGAAGCACCCGGTCCCAGCGGTGGAGGTGGAGAGGGTCCTGGGATATAAAGCATCAGGAGGGCCACTGGCAGAGCGAATAAGTTGTGGAAAGGGGTGTGTGTAGCTAGGAAGAATGTTTTGGGGGAAAGAGACGGAAAGAAGGAGGTCTGTGGGAGAATGTTGCTCAGGATTACCAGGGATTACAGAATGCCACTCAGGGGTCACTGTGGACTAGTTAACTGATGGTGAGAGTAGGCCCTTCAGGCTAGGATCAAAGCTGCTGCCAACCTGAACTGGTAAAGTGGAGCAGCTCAGGAGTTCTCACTTTCTTCCGCTTTGATTTTCCTGTTCGTGTTGTTACACACACACACACACACAAACACACACACACACACACACAGAGGTGTGATTGGCATCTCACCCCCTCCGCCCCACAGCTCCCCCTCTTGGTTGGGTGTCCCTAAGAGTCAAGTCTTTCCTGCCTTCCTGGAGCGGATTGTCTTTATTGCCTCTTGAGATCTGCTGGGCGGGGGAGGGGGGGCAAAAGTTGTTCAACTTGCACCCTCCTCCTGTCCTTCTCCAGTGGGATTGCCCCAGAGTCCTGAATGTCCTCTTCCTGTGGGTATTTGCTCCTCCATCTCTCTCGCGTCGCCACCATCCTTTTATTTCCTTTCTGCTGTTTGCACCACGCCCCCTTAGCTGCCCCCCCCCCAAATCCTTTTCCTGTTGCCCCAGGTAGCAGGGATTGCCCCAGAGGGATGTGTCATATAGTCCAGGAGCTGCTGTTGGCTTCCTCCCTCTGTCCCTCTCTCCTTCCCTTCCTCTCTCCCTCCCTCCCTCCTTCCCTTCCTGCTTATGTCTTTGTGCCTGCCCCCAGGGGAGGAGGGCTGGTGGGTGGGCGCTATTGTTTCCCCCCCCCTCCCAGTTGCTGCCGAAGGGAAGAAGAGCCAGAGCATCTACCAGGGTGGGGAATCTGATAAGGAGCAGATCTCTAAGGAGCAGCCCGCTCTCCCGCTTTGTCTGCCCGTCTGCTGCCCCTGACCCAGCTTGGGCTACTGGCTGGGTGTGAATTTGGACCCCTATCCCATTGGAGGAGAAGCCGCCTCCCTCCCGTCTTCCCCTTCTGGCCCTGGTTCCTGAACGCTTCTTTCTTTTTTTCCCCCATGTATGACGACTCCTATCTCCATGGATTCGAAGACTCCGAGGAGGTGGTGAGTCGACAGGCTGGCAAAGAAAAGAAGGGGCTATTTTAAGCCTGGGAAATGCCCACCTTCAAAGAACCTGGCACCT